CAGTTACCATAAAACAAATTAATTGGTAAAAAATATTTTTTACACAGAAGTCAACTTTAAATATTACATTTATTTTAATGATACAACAGTACAACCACTGACCAGTTGATTTACAACCAGTGCTGCCAACGAATTTTGCTCGCATACGACCTTGTCTGCATGTTACGCGCTCACTATTTCGTGCCTTCACGTTGCAAATCTGGAGTGAGTGAGACAAAGTAGTTTAGAGTGAGACAATGTTAACGTTGTCTCACTGATGAGCGAATTGGCCACTTTGCTTTCTCAAATCAGTGAGAGAACATGTACATTGTTAGGTAACTGTAGGGAAAAATGTGTAAATGAAGCAGTTAGCCACTTGGCGTACTATACTCAGTGCAAGGAAGGTCACTTTACCAGGTAACTGTAGGAAAAAATATTTGCTTACTTCAGCTGAAGAACAGAACCATTTTAACTATGTGAACAAAATAAACCTCCTCTGATAGAATATACGAATTTTAAAGAGTAATTTAATCGATAGAATAAATCTTCAGTACATTATCATTATATTTTTTGATAAATACCTCACTTTACGCTAGGTCGATGCATTAGTGTATTTTAGACTGTTTCCATAGTACGGGATTTCAATATTTTTATTTTTAATAGTTTTAATATAATCATGTCATTTATAAATACATAAAAACCACGATACGACTTATAGGTATACAGTAGGCCTATATTGCTTTTATTTGGTAGCATTACCTCCTCCGATCCCTGCGCTGGTATTTACATTTGGCAACCTTTTAGCCGTGGGTTGAATATACAACAGTGGATTTGGTTAACGGATATATGGAGCTGCGTTGTTGTTTTAGGGAATTAACCTGGAAATAGATTAACACTGGAAGGGATTATGAGTGAAACAATCAAACAATCTAAATGTTTGTTTGCTTGGTGGGTACGTCGTTTATTTTAGACTGCATTACCTTTTTACCGTCTTAATAAAATAAGGAAATATTGTTGTTGGTTCAATTTGTTATGTTTATGCTAACAAAGTGTAATAAAAATTGGAGAGTCATGAAAACTGTATTTTTTACTAATTGTGATAGAAAATGTCGAAAACATATTCTAAATAGGAGAGAGGTTTTTAAACTCCAAATATGCCTTCTAAAAACACTGGCATTTATTTATAAAGGCATTGCTATAATTAACACGAACAAATAAAAATAACTATAAAGTAAACTTGAAGCTATAATTAGTTTTTGGGATTGCTAGTTATGACCGCAACGTAGCCTATTTGTAAAAAACACCTAGAGTGTATGTCGCAAAAAAGTTCATCAACCTAAGACAGAAGGTATTGGGATAAAGCTATGACATATTCAGACTACTATAAGTGCTATTAGGGTGTTTTAACAATTTTTTTATGTTTATGGTGAGCATCCTGTGTGGATGAAAATAAATAAAATTTCCACATCAATGCTAGCAAAACTAATAATGCAATTAGGTATGTAAGCACTTGGTATACTTAGTATTGTTTCCCGGAGTTCCAAAATTGGCAATAGCGTTAATTTCTTTCGTTAATTCACCGATCTCTCAACGCTACTTCCAGTCATGGACTCCTTTCTTAAAATCATCTCATACGGTTGCATACTATACTTTCTTAATAATTATTTAAATAAATAATTTTCTTAATAATTAATACAATTTAAAATTAAACTTAAGGAATTCTGAAATAAAAACTTTCAAAATCACGTAGAAGTGTTATTAACCGTCGCTAATCATATATTCAGTGTGGCGTTACAAAAAATTGACCTACGTGTAAAGTTTACTAATTTTTGAAATAAAATAAATTTAAAACAGTCAAATAAATTTAGTCACACACTAGAATCTCGGACGTTCTTTGACTTTTACTCAGTATCTCTTGATAGAATATAAGGTGAATGTACTTTTTTGTTTTTTTTTCCACATAAAAGATTTGCTTACTCCGTTCACAATGTGAGATTGCCGAGGTTATAGAAATAACCGGAAAGCATTAATAGTACAAACTTTGTTGGTCAAATTGGCTACTTTTATATACTATTCAATATAATGACAACGATGTTTAACTTCTTGTTATTAATTTTTCATTACGCATTGTTGGTACTCAGTATATAAAAACACGAGCTCTTATAAAACACTTAAAATCACATTTGAACTATTACATAATCAAAACATATAAAAATTATACCATTTATTATCATACTACAAAAATATGTTACAACATTACAATCAAATAAATAATCAATCAATAAATAAACCTTAAATCCAACTTAATGTACAAAATGTCAAAAACCCAAGGGGAGAAGAAGGAAGTATACAAATCCTGATGTCAGCTTTTATAGAAAGCAGAGAATTGGGAAGCGACTGCTACAACGCCTCCACCAACGCATTCCGCCATCTTGATTTGATGCATCAGTTGATCTGAAGATAGCAACTTAGATTGTCGAATCATTTCTGAAAAGGTATAATGTAAATATAAAAAAGGTCTATGACAGAAATCTTTGATTTAATTAGTGAACAACGTTTACTGATCACACTGCTCGTCCCTACTCTACGTAGCAGCTTGTAGCCAATCAGCTGCATATTCTGACTCAGTGGCTCGTGTCACAATCATAGCTATACAGCTTTCAGTAACAAACAATGTAATTTTGAACACTGAGGACTTATAAGGCATTATTGCAATTCAAATTAAGCGCAGTCGTCATAGTAAGGAAATTGGTAATATGCATTAGAATAAGTTCTAAATGTGTGAGTAGTAGTGATTTTGTACGTTCTAGGACAGAGGAGGGAGGAGTGTAGACCACGTGGGTTGAGGTAGGTAACCTCACTTTGCCTAACCTAACCTAACCTTACAGACAGAGACTGATCCTCTGATTTGGATGACCTTTTTTTTGTGTAGATATAAAGAACGTTAAATCAGTTCTCATTTGGTATACTTGTCGTATAATAGGATCTCACGGCTGAGATCGAAAACGACAACAGCTTTTGAATCTCATTTTATATAGGACCACCAATAGGTTCTCAACTGCACAAAAATGGCGCCGATTGCATCATTCGGTGCTCATGTTTTCACTAGAGGATTTGTATGAAGATGCAGTATTTCGATCTCAATGTATACTGACACGCCATTTGAAACTCATTGTTTTCATGTTGATTTTTACGTGTCTTTTGAGTTGAGTCGTTCCGTGTTTAGTGACGTCACTTGTCTTGGGATCATGTGATCATGGAATGTTCTAGAAACATTACCATAAAAGGAAATGCCACGTGATAGGTCACGTGATCATCTTGGAACGTTCGAGAACATTACCATATATGGTCATGTGTTTCGACGATTGTGCAACAGCCCGCGCGGTCTTGCGTCAGTCTTCTCTGAGAGGTGGTTGTGAGAGGTGCTATTTTTCGAGTCTTTGAAATTGTGTAGTGCGTGAAAAGTAAGTTTTCAACCATTTATAAGTGTGACGAGGATTTGCGGTGATGGCTAGTGTCAGTGCTACGAAGCGATCGTTTCCTAGTGACAACGAGAGTGATGACGACAGCCTTCCTACACCACCGAAGCGTCGTTGGTTCCAACGTTATAAAGACGATATTGAGGAACAACAAGGTGCTAGGGAAGAACACCGCTTGGATGTTGCCTCGGTCTCTGACGGAGAACATCATGTGTCACCGGTTGTTCAAAGTGCTACCAAGCGGTCGTTTCCTACTGACAACGACAGCGATAACGAGACCCGTCCTATATCACCGAAGCGTCGTCGAGCCCAACATAGTGAGTTGGATATTTCGGAACAACTACAAGGTGCTAGTGAGATGATGGACATTCAAGAGCAGGAAGAAGATGTTTCGGATGTCGTGCAGGTTCTACCTGTCAGGAGAGCCGATACAAAAACATTAAAGTTCTGTGATATATGTCACCTCAGTATTACTAGGAAAAACTGGGCCCGTCATACTGGGAGTGGAGCTCACCAAGCGGCGTGGATACAAAAACAGCAACTAAACCGACCATCCGTCATAGTTCAGCCATCCAACATAGTTCGGCCATCCATCATAGTGCAAGTCCCACGTAAGCCTCCGCCACCACCTAATCTTGAAATCATTCAATCTAAAACGGCGTTCAGAGGTCGAATGAAGACGTTTGAGATCAATAATGTCAAAGTGTTGTGTCATGGTCAATCAAACTGTGTCATGGTTACAAAAGTGTTGAAACTTTTATCGAAGATTCCAAAAAACTTATAATTGAAAAGGTTCGTGATGAGGGAACTTCATTGAAAATCCAACTTATCCTTAAGGCAAAGTTCGCTAAAGGGATTACGGAAAAAGTCGAATCTGATTTTGAATTCAAATCGAAAAACATCATCATTTACGAAGATTCTAATCTATCAGATTTGTTAAATGAGGCAAAACAAAAACTATTGACTGAGATGGAAAGTTTTAATCACAAAGGCTCCAATTGGAACATGAAAACGATTGAATGTCTTCTTTTACATATCAACCGACTTAAGCCTTTGAAAGGGTCTAGTTACATAGCCCTGCCAGAAAAAATTCGCTTGAAACGTGCTGTTGTAAACATAAAAAACAATGATCAGCGTTGTTTCATGTGGTGTTGTCTAGCAGCACTCCAACCTCCAAAGGTACACCCGGAGCGGATCGAAAGCTACACTGCTTATGTTGATGGATTTCTTGAGTTATTTGATGGGATAGATTTTCCAGTCAAACTGACTGATGTAAAAAAATTCGAAAAGCGTGCAGGATTATCGATCAATGTATACGGTCTTGAAGAAAATAGTGATGTTTTTCCCTTGTGTGTAACAGATGAAGAAAAGCCCGTGCATGTAGACCTGTTGTTGGTTAAAGATGGAACGAACTCACACTACTGTCTAATCAAAAACCTATCTCGTTTAGTTCACAGTCAAGCTACAAAACATAATAGAAAATGCTATATATGCAGACGTTGTCTTCAACACTTTCATAACGAAGACAATTTGAAGACACATATGGAGGACTGCTCTAGACATGATGCCGAAAAAATAAAGCTCCCTACCGCTGGAAAAAATGACAAAATAAGATTTACAGAACACAATAAATCAATGAAAGTTCCTTATGTCATTTATGCCGATCTGGAGAGCATGCTCCTCCCGATTTCTACTTGTGAACCATCGGGAGTTGATGAAAACGGTGCTAAGAGATCGTACACATACAGCTATCAGAAACACGAAGCTATAAGTTTCTGTTACTATATCTCTGGCAGTGAAAAGCCTCCAACGACATATTTCGGGGAAGATGCTGGACGAAAATTTGTCGAGGCGTTGAAAAAGGAGGCCGTGGAGATAAAACAAATCTACGAAAAGATCATTCCAATGAAACCACTGGAGGAAGAAGAGATACGTAGACATAAAGAAGCGGTAACCTGTCACATCTGCCAGGAACCTCTCAATGAAACCGACAAAGTAAGGGATCACGACCACCTCACCGGTTTGTATCGAGGCCCTGCCCATTCCAAATGTAACTTATTGTTTACTAAGCCCAAATTTATTCCTGTTTTCTTGCACAACCTTTCTGGCTATGACATACATCAGTTCATCAAAGAAATAGGACGACAAGGTGAGAAACTCCAAGTGATTCCGCAAAATGATGAGCGGTATATATCATTCACCGTTCAAGTTAGGGGAGGGTTGGAACTGAGATTCTTGGACTCTTTTAAGTTTTTAAGTGCAAGTTTAGACCAACTGATTAACAATTTAACTACAGATCAGTTGGAGCATACAAAGAGATTTGTCAGATCATCACAGATAGACTTGGTAACAAGAAAAGGGGTTTATCCCTATGACTTCATGGATAACATAACAAAATATGATATGACAACTCTGCCGGAACTTCATGATTTCAAAAACAAATTAAATAAGTGTGATGTATCAGAATTAGATTATGAGCATGCTCAAAAGGTTTGGGATGAGTTCAACATCAAAGATATGAGAGAGTACACATTGTTTTACAACAAGATTGACGTCCTCCAGTTGGCAGACATTATGGACAACTTCAGAGACGTTTGCCTTCAAACATATAGTCTCGACCCAGCGTGGTACTTCACAGCTCCCGGATTAGCCTGGTCGGCGATGCTGAAACTCACTGATGTAGAGCTCCAGTTACTAACCGACCTCGATATGATTCTAATGGTTGAAAAAGGAATTCGTGGAGGTGTTTCGCAGTGTTGCTTGAGACAAGCTCGAGCCAACAACAAGTATATGAGTCAAGGCTTCGATGAGAACAAAGAACCTAGCTACCTGGTGTACTTAGATGCGAATAACCTATATGCTTGGGCTATGTCGCAGGCGATGCCATTCGGTGACTTTAGATGGCGAAAAGATACTGAAATAAATGTTTTAGACATCAGTGATGACGCGGCCACCGGCTACATTCTCGAAGTTGACCTCGAGTATCCCGAAGAAATTCATGACCACCATGCAGACTTTCCACTCGCACCTCACCACATGATTCCACCTGGGTCAAAAATATCCAAACTGGTCACCACTTTGTACGACCGATCTAGATACGTTGTACACTACAGAAATTTAAAACAGTATCTGAACCTCGGAATGAAACTAAAAAATATACATCGGGTTCTTGAGTTTTCTCAAAAACCGTGGATGAAACCATACATCGATTTAAACACTAACATGAGGACCAAAGCAAAGAATAAATTCGAAATTGACTTCTACAAGCTTATGAATAACGCGGTATTTGGGAAAACTATGGAAAACCTTCGGAATAGAGTGGATGTTCGTCTGGTAACCGACGAACGACAGGCGGATAAATTCATTGCCAAACCGACATTCAAGAGTCGGAAAATATTTACGGACCATCTTGCAGCTGTGCACATGACCAAAACATCACTTCTTTTCAACAAACCGATTTACGTGGGGGCGGCTATTCTAGATGTGTCGAAAACCCTTATATACCGTTTCCACTATCAAGTGATGAAGAGCAGATATGGTGATCGGGTCATACTCGCCTATACTGATACCGACTCACTGATTTACATCATATATACAGAAGACTGGTACATGGACATGAAAGAAATGATTGACGAGTTCGACACGAGTGCATATCAAAGCTCCAACCCTTTTGGTATGCATCGAGTAAACAAAAAGGTTCTCGGAAAAATGAAAGATGAGCTGGAAGGTCTGATCATGGTTGAATACGTTGGTCTGAAGTCAAAAATGTATGCCACTGACGTAGAGGAAGGTTTGAATTGTATAAAAACATCTAAAAAGGCTAAAGGAATCAAGAAATCAGTGGTGGAAAATGAAATCACAATAGATGACTATCGCAGATGTTTGAAGACTCTCGAAGATGTGTACAGACAAATCAACAGCATCCGAAGCCACCTGCACGATGTTTATAGTATGACACAATTCAAGAAATCACTTTCGCCAAAGGACGACAAACGGTGTGTTCTTCGAGACGGAATAAGGACGCTACCCTGGGGACATAGAAGAATTCCTACTGAATGTACATAAAAAAATGTAAAAAAACTATTCCTGTAAAATATTTTTTTTCGTGTTTTACACTGTTGTTATTTATTGCCCTGGTGTGCACAAGGTTTTTTGTAGCTCTTTCTCATAAAAAGATCCAATTATTTCTTCACCACTTTTATCTTTGATTCTATAGGTTATTGGAAAGGTGTCTTGCACTTTGGATATGGTAAATATCTCTCTAGTCCAATTGCGACTGTATTTATCGGCAAACGTATCTTTTTTTGCCACAATCCTCACTCTGTCTCCTAGTTGAAATTTTATTTTTCTAGGTGTATGAGGAATATTGGAGAACCTCTCAAGCAATCTAGGTACGTCCGCCTTAGTAACCTCTGCAGGTTTTATACAAATTGTACGATGGACACTATTGTTGTACTGATGTAACAAGTCTTGAACTATGTCCAACCACCGAAAATAATTTCGAGTCTCGAATATAACCTTCATTTTTTCATTCAACGTACGATTGAACCTCTCAATGATTGCACTCTTTTCCTCATTTTCAGTATGATACATTTTTATGTTGTACGATTGCAAAACTGACTTAAAATCACGGTTAAGAAATTCTTTGCCCTTATCGGTGTGTAACAGTCTGGGAGCGGTGTGACCGTTGACGTCAATTGCTCGCTTCAATTTGAGCATAAACGATTCCGCTACTTCTGCACCCCGTTTGGTCATCAACGGCTCTGACCAGGCGAATTTTGAAAAGGTATCAATCACATTCAACATATAATTATAGCCATCATTCTCACTGGCATACTTTCTCATGACAACCAGATCTGCGGCCCACAGATCGTCTATACCTAGGGTAACAATACGTCGTCGAGGAAAGTGCTTGATCACTGGTCTATGTACTTCCTTGGCGGCCATACTGGGCTTAGGAACTTTGACGAAGGCGCCTTTACGTTGACCGCAAATATTGCATGTCGTATTTAAACGCCATTTGTTGTTAACGGTTTTGACATACTCCCCACTGTCTTGAGACGTGGTTTTCCTTTTGCATTTCATACAGTAGATTTCCATTGGCTCTTATATAAGTGGGAAACACTTAAAAATGAGTGAACTGCACAGACACAGAATTCACTTGTCCGACGGTCAGAAGCGTAAGCTACGCATCGCGTTTAAAAAGCGTAGAACTGCTATAATTGGTTTAACTAATGATAGCCTCTCACGTGGAGCGGATCATATACTGCTTAACGAAGCACAACACAAGGCTGTTGAAAAAGCTATCCGGAACAAAACCGGTCTACGTCTGGCTGTGAGCTACGACCAGCTTTTGAAAAACAAAGAGGGTGGTCTTTTGAAAGAGATGTTGGAAATGGTTGAATCAAAGGTGCCATATGGAAAACGTTTCATATCTCCATTGATACGACATCAGGTGGCACCGATTCTCAAGAACCGATTCGTGCCGTGGTTGAAAAACCTGATCGATAACGAGCTAGATTCAATAATTGAAAAAGACCCCAAGGGAGCCGGTCTTAAGCGATGCATCAACAACAAGCTGGACTCTCTTTTAAAAAACCCGTAAAGTCGTTTGAACCTATGTCACTGGGAGAAATAGAGCTTTATGCTAACCAATTAGGCATCCGTGGCTTTCGAGGAGTGTTTATGAGACAGATATTACCCGAAGCCCCTATGGAGTTTGAATGTGGAATCTTGAATCTGGGTAATATCGATTCTTCTGGAACCCATTGGACTTGTTATGTTAAAGACAAAAACAAAAAGTTCTATTTCGATTCGTTTGGAAACGCACCCCCACCACTAGAACTAATAGACTATTTAGGTTGAAACGATCTCTTCTATAATGACATTGCTGTTCAAGAGTATAATGATCCACCTATCTGTGGTCATTTGTGTTTGGAGGTTTTACGACGAAACTCTAGTGATGAGCCTTGGGATGATATCATAAGAGCTATACGGGATGATAAATACGTATGGAGTTGGTAGTGGCAGCGGAAGATTCATGTTCAATAGATTCGGGGACGAGGTGGACTACCAAAGCTCAATTCGTCTACAAATCGAATCACAAACAAAGTCTGAAATTAGGGATCTTGTCAAATCAGGTCTTTCGGAAATGAAGAAAATGATGAGAACACCTAACGACGATTCGAGCCATGTAGCATTAAACACTAGACTTGGTAAAATAGAATCTACGATGAACATCAAGGATAATTTCATTGGTTTTAAAAGCAAACGTTTGGTTAGCGTCTCCAATGCAATTGATAAACATGATGTTGTAAACAAATATCAATTGGATACTGTCAAATCAACGGTGGATAGACTAACAAAAACATTCGATGTTTCGAACCCTGAGGTGGTGAATTTAAACGGACATCGAAGAATAGGAAAAGTCAGCAGATCAAAAGATCTTTATGACGTGATCGTAAGGAAAGAACTAAACGAGTTAAATGAAAAACTGATTATATTCCAGACAAACCTTAACACGATATTGGGTAATATACACGATGACATTATAAATTTAAAGACAGCACAAAATGGTAATGATATAAGTGACAAAGATGCCGCTAGTGAAAATCCGGGGCAAAGGATGCCAAATGACATTCCATCCAGAGCACCCTATCCGCCTCAGTGATGGTAGCAAGTGCCGACTAGCTCTAGTTAGCTTTATGTCGGAGAACTACATAAACAACGTGTTAGAACCGGGTAACATATATTTTTGGGACAGCGATATTTATCTGATCTCGACGCCATTTACGATCTCAAAGGGATATTGGACTATTGAAAAACTAAATGAAAAAATCAACGAATATATTACTGCATTGAAACTTAACGTACCTACCAACCAATTTTCAATCAAAAGAGAAAACAATCGTATCGCAATAACAAGTCCATTGAAATTTTATCTCGACGAAAAGGCGGCTTCATTCCTCGGATTCTCAAGTCCTGGAGAGAAACCATTAACCGAGCAGGAATCGTTTTACGATGTCAATACATTACTGACTGCGCCAAACGCACCCAATTTCAGGGCTGTGGACGCCATAGAGGTACACTGCAACATCGTAGAGCACAGTTACATCAGCCACGATGAGCACAGACACAAACATGTGAAAGCAGAACTGTTGTACACGTTCTTCCTGAATGTAGCACATGGCTACAAGATATATGAAGTGCCAACGGAGAAGTTGTACGTTCCTCTGAGGAATGGTTTACAAACGATCAACCGAATCGACATCACTCTCCGAGATCAAAACAATCGCTTGCTTCAAAACGAAAACGTTGAATGTGTAATAGTTTTAGATTTATATAAGTCCTAAAATGGATATCAATGTGTACTGCATCGAAGAAGGATCCATAAATAATCTATTACCACACCCATTAAGATGTCTTATAGTCGGTTCATCAGGGTGTGGAAAAACAAACCTATTGCTCAATTTTATCTATAACGTAAAGGGTGTAAAGTTCAAAAACCTTTATGTATTCAGCCGATCCATTGATCAGCCAGCATACACACAGCTACGTAAACACTATGAAAAAGTAGAGCACGCACTCGGCATAACTATTGCATACTTTTACTCAAACTGCAGTGACTTGATACCTCTAGACGAATGTAAGTCCAACTCTTTGGTGGTGTTTGACGATTGTCTTTTAGAAGAACAAACAAAAATAAAAGACTATTTCATACGAGGGCGTCATAAACAGGTATCTTGCATTTATTTGAGTCAGAGCTACGGGCGGGTAGACATGCAAGTAATAAGGAATAACGTTAATCTTTTGTGTATATTCACACAGAACAAACACTATACACAAAAGATATACAACGACTTCGTTGGATCCGATATGATATACCAAGAGTTTGTAGGCATGTGTAAAAAGTGTTGGGCGGAACCTCACGGTTTTATGTCAATAGACACTACTAAAAAAACGCATCTAGGTAAATATAGATGTATGTTTAAGGAAACGCTATATCCCTAATAAAAACATTTTTGCATCAAATACGTGTATTTTGTTACATTAACGATATTTTATACGTAAGAGCGTATTTACACTAAATGATAGTGTTTATGCTAAAAAACGATATTTCAAATTAAAGAGCGTTTCTGCGTTAAATAAACGTTATATTTTTATCGAAAGCGTTTCTACACTAAATAAACGTCATATTATGTAAAGAGCGTTTCTACAATCAATAAACGTTTCACATGTACATGTTGGAATAACGATGTGAATCTTACGTTGTGTTTATGTGTTACTAAGTGCACAATGGATGCAAAAGAAGCTAAGCGACTTGAGATTCTAGAAAAGAATCTCGTCAAAAAATTTCGGACAGCGGAACAGGAGGAAAAGAAAGAACGAGCTAAGAAACTAGAGGAGATTACAAACTCCCATCCCAATACACATGCAATACAAGACATCACAAAACCCCCAACACGAGTAACAAGTAAAACGCGAGATGAACCTCTGACAGTTGAAAAAGCTAGACAGCTGGAGCAACTGCAAACCACTCTGCAAAACCAGTTTGGAGAAATACATGTTAGGGAAATGGAGGAACAACGTGTAAGGGAGAAAAAGTACGAGGCTATCACCAAAGCGATTAAAGAGAAAAAAGAAAAGGATGAGGTACTGGAGAAAAAAACAAAAGAAATGCTGAAAAAACAAAAATACAACCAGCTAATGAAACGCAACTTTAGACCATCAGTCTCTAGTACACCGGACCGAGTCGGTTATATTGGTTCCACTCAAGACGATGATGATGAAGATGAAAAAATGGAAGTAGTTGCAGATAAATCAATAAAACAGTTGATGGATACCAAGGTCGTTAATCTTGGAGTGGTCGGGGCTAAATATCTACCACGAGCTAGTGACTCTCAATTCGGTATTTATTTCGATGAGATAGATGAGCAACTAATAATCGGTTCTGAACCGATTGGGTTTGATTATGATGACATTATTGTAAACAACAAACGATTTAAAGGTACTGAAGGACTTTGGAAACTTTTAACGAAGAAAGGGTTTGTGCAGTCTAATGAATACACATCAAACGATTGGCAGACATATAAAGATATGCTTTTGATGACAAACTCTATCTTCCAGAAAAATGACCCTACTACACGACGTCCAAAATCTAGTTCAGGACAAAAATGGCGGAAAATGATAAAACCTATTTGGGACGAAGTTATCAAACCGACCGATCCGATTGAACAAGATATGGACAGGGATGTATTGACAGGATCCGGTTTAAAACGCTACCATGACGGTCCGGTTGAATATCGCTACATCAAAGACCTCAACGAGCTCATCAACCGTCTGAATTTTATTTACGCAGAGGAGGTTGCAGGCAACAACAATTTTCACAACGAAAAACTATCTGTTGTTAAATTCATATCCGACCGTATGCAAGAACTGATTGACCAACCGAACGGGGTCAAATACGTAGTACGATGTTTGTCAGCCTTGCCTGAACGCGCGATAGAAGGCTCGGGATTGTTGAACGACATCATCAACAAATTACCTGTAGAACTACACGCCCCGCGTAATTGGAAATTCGATACGTATAACTTCTGCGGTCCAGGCACGAAGCTCGCTGAACGAATAGGTCGTGGTGACAAGGGTGTGAATCCTTTAGACGATGGGTGTAAACAGCACGACATATGGTACAGAGACCACCGGAAGCCCGAAGACAGATGGGTCGCAGATAAAGCGTTACAGAAAGCGGCGTGGGATAGAGTGACGTCTAGCGACGCGGACCTTAACGAGAGGAGCGTAGCCCTCGCGACCACGGGTGCGATGTGGTTGAAACGTAAACTAGGGATGGGTTTAGGTACATCCGCGTGTTCATATCCCTGTAGAAAAAATGGGTATATATAAGTGAGCAGCATGGACAACGCTTGGCAAATCTTGTCCCGCGAATCGAAGGCACCGAACGGTGTACTCACCGACGAGCTCGTTATGAAGTTCGATAGGTACCTCAACTGGGACCTGTTGTCAATTCACTATGATTTCTCCATCGATATGCTACGTATTTACTTTCATCGTGTTGACTGGGGTCCTATTCTGAAGAGGCAAAAATTCAGTGAGAGCTTTCTTCGTGAGATGGCACCAAACTTTGAGCATGCGTGGTTTGCTGTCAGCAAGCACCAAATACTTTCCGAGTCGTTCATACACGACTACGCAAACAAAGTCGATTGGGAATACATTAAAAAATTCCAGATCGTTTCACAACAGTTTTTGGATGATCACAAAGCTTACATGGAAGAGGAGTTCGATGAGTAAGTCTATATATATAACATGTAGTTAAAAAAATAAATAAAAATAATTAGCTTATACTTTTTTTTCTTGTGTGTTATTAAGTTATTGTAGACAATGGAAGCACTGTACGAACGTTTCTCCACCGGAGTGGTGAAAAGCGAGTACCGAGCTGTTATGCCGATATCCGAGTTGAATTTCAACACACCAAACAATTACACAATCTTCAAACTCGATCACGGAGACACGTTTTACGACTCGGCAATTCAATATCACATCTGCGGCGAGGTAGTAAAAAAATCCGATGGTAAAACATATGATGCGACT